CTTTCTGGTTGTTCTATCCATTTTTGAGAGTGGTGTATTAAAGTCACCCACTATTATTGTGGATTCATCTATGTCTTTCTTCAAATCTATCAGAGTTTGTTTTATATATTTTGGAGCTCTTTCTTTGCGTGCATAGATATTTAATACGGTTATTTCGTCTTGTTCAATTGTCCCTTTAATCATGATATAATGTCCGTCTTTGTCTATTTTGCTGGTTTTTGCCTTAAAATTTATTTTATCTGAGATTAGTACTGCTACTCCTGCTCGCTTTTTATTGCAATTAGCTTGGTATATTTTTTCCCATCCTTTGACTTTTAATCTGTTCTTGTCACTGTGTGTGAGATGTGTCTCTTGCAGACAGCATATTGAAGGATCTTGTTTTATTATCCATTCTGTCACCCTCCATCTCTTAACAGGTGCATTTAACCCATTTACATGCAGTGTAACTATCGATAGGTATTGATTAATTGCTGTCATTACATTTTTTGTGTGTGGTGTTGCTGCTTCTTTGTTCTGTTTGTCTTTCTTTGTTGAATTCATGATTTTTGTGTTCTTTCTTGTGACTTTCCTGCTAGGTTTAATGTTTTCATATTCTTCTTGGATTTTCATTTTCTTGGTATGTTCTGAAGTGTTAATTGTCTTTCAGGTTGAAAAGGCATTGATTCTTCTAGGGTCTTCCTTATTCGTTGTCCAGTTGTCCAACTTTCACAACTATGAGGCAATTTGAAAATGCCGTGACTTGGATCGGTACACTTTAGTCCTCAAAATGACATCTTAGCTCTTTTAACACTTTAAACAGGTCTTTTGCACCAGATTTGCCTAATGTGATAATGTCATTTGATTTCTACACTGCTGCTTCCATGAGTGTTGATTGTGGATTTAAGCAAAACAAAGTCTTAGACAACTTCAACTTTTTCTCCCATTTAGCATGATGTTATTTATTGGTCCTTATGTGTTGATTTTTATATTCTGTACATTGAGGTACACAATTTCATACTTACACTGTATTCTTTAACCTTCATCAGTAAGTATTTTAATTCCTATCAGCAAACAAGGTTGTACCATCTATGTATCACAGGTTGTTAATGAATCCTCCTTCTGTCTTGATGCCACATTCATCTTCATAAAATCTAGTTTCCTGGATTATTTGCTCAGCGTGCAGATTGATTAAATGGGATGAAAAGATACAACCCTGACACATACCTTTCCTGATTTTAAGCTCTTCAGTATCCCCTTGTTCTGTTCTAACAACTGATTCTTGGTCTGTGTGCAGGATCCTCATGATCACTATGAAGTATTCTGTAATACCATCTGGACAATAATTGGATAATAGTGCAAGGAGCCTTTCTGTTCCTGCAAAGACTTATAAAGCCTTAGAAACCCTATACAGGGGCACTATGGGTCGGACTCAACTCATTGGCACTTGACACCACCACCAACGTGTACTATGTTCCAGCTAACACATTTTTGTTTGAGGGTCTGTCCACGTTGGCGGCCTTCTTCATTTTACTCCTGATTTGTTAAATGATGCTGTAGAAAATTCCAAGTTGCTTTTTTATATGATTTACTATAAACATTTTCTGTGTCGCTTCTTAATATATAGTCAGTTTTTCATAGTTGTTAATGTTCTATTGGATTAACAAAGAACTTTCCTCTTTTTCTTTTAAATTCTATTTTACTCTGTCTGTCTAATGGTTTGGGTAAAAGGATCTAATATTATCTTCAGAGGGAAGGGTAGGAGAGCTGTTATCATAGCCCAGGACTGGAGGTTGAGTGCAGCACTCTGGGACCATGAGAGCTATTGTTTCTCTCTCTGGGGCTTGTAATGACTAGTTATGCTTATGTTTGCTCTCACTCCTACTTCTCTACTGACCTGTTGGTGTGCAAGGTTCCTGTGAGGCTGCTTCATGATAGCAGCCACATTAGGCACTTTCAGGGTAATTTCAACTCATTGTGACCCAGTGGGACAGAATCAAACTAACTGTCCCATCGGTTTTCTCTGTTGTAATCTGTGGGAGCAGATTGCCCGGTCCTTCTCCCATGAAGCTGCTTAATGGATTTGGACCATCAGTCTTTTGGTTGGCAGCTGAGGTCTTAGCCGTTTTGCCCTTAGAGCTCTTTGTTGTTGTTGTTATGTGCTGTTGAGTCGATTCCGACTCATAGCGACCCTGTCTAGGGTTTCTGAGGAGCGGCTGGTGTGTTTGAACTGCTGACCTTGTGGTTCAAACCAACCTTGCAGTCCAGTGCTTTATCCTGCAGCACCACAACAGGGCTCCATCAGGCTTCTTTAGCCCCTAGTTAACATCTCTTGACAAGTATGGTAGCACCTGATGGGTGCTTTTGAGTTTTCAGTTCCAGTTCTAGGAGACGAAATCTGGTCTTTTTGGCTGGGTTCAAAGGACCACAGATAGTTGCTGCCATCAGATCAGCTGAGGACCTGGGAAAGCATACTCGAGGAGAAGGTGTGGCCAGTTTAATCAACTAGTAGCATCTCTAGTACAATCACATAGCTGAGTTTTTCCCTTTTCAATTTTTTCTTTGGTACATCAGAGTAAATATTTTTTACTTTTGATACCTAAACTACTTTCCAGTAAATTTGTTGTTGTTGTTGCTATGTGCCGTGGAGTGGTTCAGACTCATAACAACCCTGTACAGGGTTTCCGAGGCTGTAAATCTTTATGGGAGCAGAAAGCCTCATCTTTCTCCTGTGCAACAGCTGGTAGTTTCGAACTGCTGTCCCTGAGGTTTGAAGCCCAATTTGTAGCCACTACACTACCAGAGCTCCTTTCCAGTAAATTTAGGACTGTGGAATTGGTAGTTCCAATGGTATTGTGGGCCTGTCAGCAGTTAGGTTAATGATACCAATTTTAGGATATCTTTTATTAGTAGAAATTAGTGTGGGGCTGTGGTGCCGTAATAGAAGTTACAGTCTTCTGGAAAAGCCTTCTCTGAAACTTTATAACCTATTATGTAAACCGAGTTCTGGTGTGGTACTGTAGGATAAACACTGGGCTGCTAACTGCAGGGTCGGTGGTTCAAACCCACCAGCTGCTCCTTGGAAACCTTATGTGGAGTTGATGTAAGTTGGAATCAACTTGATGGTGCTTAAAACAACATTTTGTAAACTGAACTTTCTGCTACTCTCTTGCTGTGCAACTCCTCAAATTCTAGCCATAACCACTTCCCCAACTCTTATCTCTATCTTTAAAGCTCAGCAGAGCTGTTGGGCTAAAGTGTGGGTCTGCAAACCACAAGGTAGGCGGTTCCAACCCACCAGCTGCTCCATGCTGCGCCAGAAGGCTGTCTGTTCCTGTAAAAGTTTATGGGCCACCCGTAGGCTACACCTCATTGTTTCCCTTCTTTCTCTTCTAGCTTGCCTTTTGCTACTTGTCTGAAAACATTTTTTTTAATGTTGTTCTGCAGGCAGTTTTTTCTAGATGGGGCAGTTCTCATAGCAGTTAACCCTTTAGGGATTGAAGTGGGGAAGTCTTGATAGGTGTAATGGAGACGAGGAAGCGGGAAAGAAGTCCTGCTGTGTCACTGGACTGCTAGCCACAAGGCCAGTGGTTCCGTTCAAGGAAACCAACTTACTGGATGGCACTTAACACCACCACCAACAAACAAAGGGTAGGAGACTGTAGCCAGAGGAAGGTCTTTGAATTTGTGATTTGTAGGTGGTATTGGTCTGGATGGAGTCCTGGTGTGGTGGTATAGGATAAGCATTGGACTGCAAGGTCAATTTGAACTGCAAGGTGGCCGTTCAAATCAACCAGCCACTCCTCGGAAACACCAGACAGGATCACTGTGGGTTGGAACCGACTCAAGGGCACTTAACCATGGTAACAAGATTGGTCTGAATAATGACAAAGCATTTTAGAAATGTGAAGGTCATTTAACTGAGATAGCATCATTTGGGTGGTGTAATGGTATCCACAGAGTTATTTTACTTACGAATAATGAAAATCTATAGGTGCCAACAGTATTTTTTTGAAGGGTGCAGGGAAAAAGGTAAATGTGAATCCTTAAAGCAAAGGCTTGTGAAGGAAGTATTTTCAAAAAATGTATACTAAATATTAAGAGAAAAGTACCCTAGAAAAGTTAGTGTAAATCCTTACAAAATAGAAAATGTATGAGAATTAATATTTAATTTTTAGTAGAAGATATTTTCAAGGTGAATTGTGAAGATAAAAACCAGCTAATTCCACAAAGGTCTTGCTCCTTCTGCAGTTTGTGTTAATTAATGTGCACAAAGCATCTAGGAAAGTGATGTCTGTTGGGACTGCTCCCTGAAATTAAGTGATACAAGAGATAGAGTTCCTTGCATCCTACATTATTAAGGTTGTTGTTGTTGTTGTTAAATGCCAATCAGTGATTCCGATCCATAGCAACCCTGTATAGGGTTTCCGAGGAGCAGCTGGTGAGCTTGAACTGCCGACCTTGCAGTTCAAAGGGCATTGCAATCTGGTGCATTAACACACACTATCAAGGTAAAATGGTGGAAATAAAGTCAGGACATCCTGACTTTGACCTTGCAAATAAGTTAGAAGCCTTCACTTTAAAGAGTGTCTCCAGCTAGGACAGGGGCCTTCTCTGATTGTCACATTTAAAGGAGAGTTTGTAAACACCTCAATTCTTATTGCTTCTATAAACAAAAAACGATTTTTCTTGTCTGCCTCTTTGCCCTTTCCCCATCTGTCTCCTATGTCCCTCTAGCTCTTCTTCATTTTCTTTCTTTTTAGAAAGGTAATATATTATTTTTATCATGGATGTGTTCCAAATGGTTTCAGAGTAAACATGCAAATTCATCTATCACCATTTCTGCTATAGGCTCTTCGATACTTGGCAGAATGCCGTGCCAACAGAGAGAAGATGAAAGGAGAACTGGGCATGATGTTAAGCTTGCAGAACGTTACACAAAAGTAAGTACAGTGTATACAGTAAGTACAGTATATACAGTAAGTACAGTATATGCAGCAAGCACAGTATATACAGTAAGTACAATATATAGTGTCTCCTGATGCTATAGAAGAATGGATCTTATATGTATATTGTTCATTAATGTATAATTTTATCGCAGCTATCATTCTTAATATAAACATATACTCTTATAGGATATATGTCTAAAAATAATACTTACCAATTTCTACGTGTAAAATTAAATGACATTGATTGCATTTTTCAAATTATGCAGTCCTTCTTATCCTCAGTTCTTAAGTTATTTTTCCACATCTAACAGCACATAACAACAACAACATGAATTCACCACCCCAAGTTTCCTCCCAAACCTTACAGGTTTCTGTTGTCAGTGTGAATAGATATAGATCTTTAAAGGAGCTCAAGCCTGGCACTCTTTACTAATGAAGCTAATAAACTATTGTTTGCGTTAAAGAGCTGTGGTAGCCTAGTGGTTAGGAGTTGACCTGCTAACCTCAAGGTCATCAGTTCAACACTACCAACCATTCCTAGGGAGAAAGATGAGGCTTTCTGCTCCCGGAAAGATTTACAGCCTCAGAAACCCTGTGCAGGGTCACTATGAGTCGGAACTGACTCCACGGCACATAACGACAGCATATATATATATATAAAATTAAAAGATACTAAAACTTTGCCCTGAATTTTTGAAGCCCTTTATGTGTGTATGTTTGTTTGTCTGTGTGTATACACAAGAACACTTTAAAAAATGTATTGTTATGTGCTGTCAAGTTGGTTTCAACTCATAGTGACCACGTATAAAGTTTTTGAGGATAAAGTTTTTGAGGAGCGACTGGTAGGTTTGAACCATTGATCTTGCAGTTCAGACCAGCCTTTTGGTCCAGTGCGTTATCTTGCAGTGCCACACCAGGAAAAAACTTTAATATAGTTGTATGTATATGTATATGTGTGTGTGTGTGTACACACACACACACACACACACATACATATGTGCATACACAAACATTTCTTAGTGTATTCTTGACTTCTGAGTAAATTTAAAGTTTTTATTAAGCTTACTTTTACAGGTTTCTTAAATGTTTGTTGTCATAGGCTATGTTAGAGTAGTTACTTCTAGGATGATTTGGTAATCACATGCCTTGGTAATGGCTGAATTTGTTTTTTATATTCATTTGATCCGTTAGGAAGGAATAACAGACAGTACTGACTGCCAGCAGTGGTGTTAATCATTGCTTCTGATTTGCAGAGCAAATCCAAAAGTAAGAATTTGAGTGAGTTCTGACTTAAGATAAGTAAGCTCTTTGACTCTTGGTTTCTTTATTATAAAGCATGGTGTTTCACCTGCTGTATATATTTCAGAGATTGATTGGTTGATCCAGTAGGCTAGTATGTGAAGAAATGCTTTGTAAGTCCTACACTGTTGTCTAAAATGTAAACTGGTTTTAATCTCCCATTCATCTGTCACTTTCTCATACTGTGGCGGGTTCTTTCTTGGTGTGATGTTGGGAGCTTTGTCACTGTCATTTCAAATACCAGCAGTCACCCAGAGGACAGGTTTCAGCAGCACTTTCAGACTAAGACAAACTAGGAAGGAGGACTTGGCAACCCACTTTTGAATTGCAGCAGAACATTGTCTAACATTTTGCTAGATGAGCCCCTCAGGCTGGAATTCTTTCAAAATACAATTAGCGAAGAGCTGCCTTTTCAAAGTTACTGTTGTTATGTGACGTTGAATTAGTTCCCACTGATAGCGACCCTGTATAGGGGCTTCCATGGAGCAGCTGGTGAGTTTCGACTGCTGACCTTGTGGTTCAAACAGATGTTGTGGTCCAGTGCCTATTCTACAGGGCCACACCAGGTTATTTAAGGTAGCAGTCCAAAAAAGCCAAACCCACTGCCATCAAGTTGATCCTGACTGATCATAACCCTATATAGAATTTCTGAAACTGTAAATCTTTATGGGAACAGAAACCCTCATCTTTCTACTGCAGAATGATAGGTGGATTTGAACCAACAACCTTTGACTCAGATTAGAGTCAGCTGTAGAGTAAAGCTTTCAGGACCTTCACTGATGATGTGGCACAACTCAAAATGAGAAGAAAAAGCTGCAAACATTAATAATCACACCATAGAATGTACCAGGTATGAATAAAGAAAATTGGAAGTTGTCATAAATGAAATGGAATACTTGAAGATAAATATGTCAGGCATTGGTGAGCTAAAATGAACTCCTGATGTGGCACTGTAGGATAAGCACTGGACTGTGAGCCACAAGGACAGCGGTTCAGATTCACCTTACACAGGGTCACTATGAGTGTGAACTGACTTGAAGGCACTTAATGGCAACAGCAACTGACTGCTTGGATCTGTCAGTCATATGATATATTGTGCCTATAATTACTGTGGAAGAGAATGATTCATTATTAAAAAGAACATTTTAACACCTATCCTGAATTACAGTTCTGTCAGTGATAGGATAATATCCATACTCCTACAAAGAAAACCAATTAATAATGGATTTTAAAAAAGTTTTTTTATTATGAATTGAGTGAAAGTTTACATGGGAGAACATCAGCTTTACACTCAGCCTATCATTTCATTTCATTGCAATGATTATAATTCCCTCCAGACATCATCATTCAACAGTATTTGCTTCTCTTTCCTCTGTTTGTTTTTTGGATATATACCAAAACACTCAGGAATATATATATAATAATTCAAACAACCAAAGGACATACCCCGCAAGCCTGCCCCCCGGCCTCCGGCACACAGCCCCTCTCCTTCCTTGAGTCTAGAGTCCCCAGCCACGTCATCTCTTCCTCCATCTCCGGTGTCGCTGCTTCCCTGGATAGGGTCCTGCACTCTGTTCTTCTCCCTTGATGGTCCCAGGGTCCTCTGCTCCTGGATTGCAACATCACTCCCCTCCTTTTGTTACAAGACATCTACCGTTACATTTGCAACATTCATCATTAGTCCTGATAACAATTATTCACTAATGAACCACAAGAGTTTTATCCCCATCTCCTTTTACCAGCCCCATCTAGACAGGTTGGAAACCATTCTGGAGTGTCTGCCTTCCTCCACACCCTCTGAAACTAAACTCCCTCTTGAAAACTTGTAAGCCAGTAACTTTGTGCCTTTATAAGCACCCCCCATAAACACACACTTTAGGTAGCCAGTGTCTTAAGTTTAGGTAGCCCATCCCTATCAACCTGTGTACAGAGGGAATGGGAATGATCCTTGCTGTGAAGTTAATATGGCTTTTATTCAACTTTACGCACCAGCTACTAAGGCCAAAGAAGAAGAAATTGAAGACTTTTACCAACTCCTGCAGTCTAAAATTGGTCAAACATGCATTTAGATGCGTTGATAATTGCTGGTGATTGGAAACATAGAAGAACCAGTAGTTGGAAACTATGGCCTTGGTGATAGGAAAGATGCCAGAGATTGCATGATAGAAATTTGCAACATCAACGATCAATTCATTGGAAATACCACTTTTCAACACGTGGACTTCACCAGATGGACAACACAGGAATCAAATTGATGACATCCTTCAGAAAGAGGCAATGGCGAAGCTCAGTATCATTGGTCAGAGTAAGGTCAGGGGCTGACTGTTGAACAGACCATCAGTTGCTCCTATGAAAGTTCAAGTTGAAGATGAAGAAAATTAAAGCAAGTCCTCAAGAGCCAAAGTATGACCTTGAGTATGTTTTACCTGAATTTAGAGACCATCTCAAAAATAGATTTGATGCATTTAACGCTAATGACTGAAGACCAGAGGAGTTGTGGGATGCCATTAAGGACATCATACATTAAGAAAGCAAAAGATCATTAAAAATGCAGAAAAGAAAGGAAAGACCAAAATGGATATCAGACTCTGAAACTTGCTCTTAAACATAGACTACCTAAAACAAATAGAAGACATGATAAAGAACAGAAGATTTCAAAGGGCAGCTTGAGAAGACAATGTAAAGTATAATGAAATGTGCAAAGACCTAGAGGTAGGAAACGAAAAGGGAACAATGACAAATGGAGTTAGGCATTTTTCAAACTGAAAGAACTAGGAAAAAAATTCAAACCTTGACTTGCAATATTGAAAGATTCTATGGATTAAGATATTAAATGATGAAGGAAGCATCAAAAGAAGGAGAGACGATATAGCCACTCTACTGAGAATTGATGGACGTTTAACCATTTCAGCAGGTAACATGTAATCAAGAATGAATGATATTGAAGGAAGAAGTGCAAGGTACTCTGAAGGCAGTTGTGAAAAACAATACTTCAGGAATTGATGGAATACCAATTGAAATGTTTCAACAAATGGATGCAGTACTGGAGATGATCACCAGTCTATATACCAAGTAACTAGCCAACCAACTCAAAGAAATCCACATTCTTGCCCATTCCAAAGAAAGGCGAGATATAACAGAAGGCAGAAATTCTTGAACAGTATTATTAAAAAGCAGAGACTGCCAGGAACAGTGTTTATTTGTGCAAAGGCATTCAACTGTGTGTATCAAAACAAACTATGGATAATATTGTGAAGAATGGGAATCCCTAGAACACTTATGTGGAACCTGTATGTATAACAGGAGACAGTTATTTCAACAGGACAGGGAATTCTAACATGGCTTTAAAATCAAGGATGATGTGTATCTGGATTGTATCCTTTCATCATACTTATTCATTCTACATATTGAGCAACTAATCTGAGAAACTGTACCAAATGAAGAAGAATAAGGTATCAGGATTAGAGGACAACATGTTAACAATCTTCAATATGCATATAACATATCCATGCTGTGGAAAGCAAGAGGACTTGAAACACTTACTGAAAATCAAAGATTACAGTCTTCAGGCTTGCAGGGTATGCCCTTTGGTTGTTTGAGTTATTATATATATTCCTGAGTGTTTTGGTGTACATCCTTACAACTGGACCAATAAGCAACATCATGATAAACAAAAAAATTGTTTAGATTTTTAG